AACAAGATCGGAAGATGATCGATCACCTCCTGTATTCGACGTCGACGACACCGAGAGAGAAAAGGGAGGTGGCGAGGTCGGGGGTCTGAGCCATGCGGCCAAAGGACTGTCTGCTCAGTATGAAGTCGGTGTTATGTCCCGAGCCCTGGTCCGTTATCACCACTCTCACTCCTCCCTCCGAGCAGTAGTACCCGTCCAAACATCTCACCTTTACCCTCCAAAATGACAGTTAAACAATCATATCAAGCTAATTAATATCAAAAGGTTTCATTTTTATTTAACATTAGCTAGCTAGATATAAAACCTGGTAACAAGCGCCGCAGCCGAGTCCGTTGCGGTAGAGATCCGAGACGGCGGAGATATCTCCTCCGCTTATGGCTTCTCCCAACGACCCGAATGAACAAGCACCTACGTAAAAGTTTATGTACCATGCATGTCGCTGATTAGAAAATCACGTACCATGCATGTCTTCACACACTTTCATGAACATACGCACACGGCTACATATGCATAGGAAGTATAATTTGTGGTTATAAAGATCGTACCAGAGGTTCCATTGGCGTTTGAATAAGCTGCACGGGAACGCACAAAGCAATCACTGCAGCTGGTCTCAGCTTCCGTTAGGGTTCTTGTGAGAACCCAAGCCGCCGACACGAAGAAGAAACAGAGACGAAGAACAGAAACAGCCATTTATAATTAAAGACAAATAATTAATGAAGATACAGCTGAAACATCTCGGTATTTATAGTGAAATCGAGCAGTCTTGGTTTGGTGAAAAGCATTAACTAGTCAAAACCTTGACATTCCATACATATGGTCTACTGCTTTATCGATACACATTGTTGAATTGGGTTCCTGCTTACATTACATACGTACATGTATATATGTATAGTGTGTATATGCTGCATGTATTTAGACATGTGCATCTATGTGTGCATGGATGTATAATTTTATGTGTACATGTATGTGCGTGTGGATGTTTGATTCGGGCCCTTCGTGGTAGGTTGGTTTGCTTGTTACACAAGTTTGACTTTTCATTTCTCTGGTCAATTCTGACTTTTTTTTTTCTTTTTTCTTTTTGTTTTTTTATTCATGGAAGGCTTGGGCATGAATCAAATAACTCCATGTGAAATTTAATTACTTGAGGATTTTATCTGGTTCTGCCAGAATATTTCTTTTAAATAAATTTTTTTCAATAGTTTTGTATTTATCCTTTTCAAAATTTAGTATACGTTTCTGTATTATTTTATATTTATACTATATTTCAATTAGGGTTTTGGGATTTTTTTTCTCCAGGTCTGAGCAACTTCATTTCTCACATTTTTACTATTCGATCCAATATTTTCGAGTTTATTTAAAAACGGATGGATATTTTATGCTTTTTTATGGGAAAATCACATAAAACATACAATTGGTTAAAAACTCTGAAATATATACATGAATTCTTTTTTTCTCATATAGATACACTAATTATATATCAACTTTCAAATATTATAGCATGTGATGACTACTCAATGAATGTATACGATCATTGAAAGAAAAATAATAACGATGCAAAAAGCCTATATTCCATGAATGTTCACCCTCGGAAAATTCATGATGTTGATTGCACATTCATGCGTATAAAGGTTATTTGGTTTCGGATGAGCTCGAAACGTATTTCAGTTTCTAAATCTTTCATACGTGCTCAATTTTGGATTAGTCGATAATTTCAGATTCAATTTGATTCAATTTCGTATTTATAAACCAAAATTATCGGTAAATCGTGTTGTTAACCCAATTTTATGATTTTACTATCGGTATCCTATTCAATTACAAAATTACTTTTTATATTTATTAAAATTATGAAAGTACCCTTAATTTTTCTTTGAAATTTTAAATTTTTCATTGTTTTTTAATGTAACAAAAATATTCTTGATATTAACGTCAAGGATTGGTTTAATATAGTTTAAACAAATGATTCAATATCTTCGTCCCTCAATGTCTACGAAGGTACGTTGATTGGATTAGTTTAAATATGTAATATTTTAAATATATTGGTTTATAGTTGGATGTCATTTATAACATCTCGTAATCAATTCCAAAAAAAAAAACCTTTGATATTTATCAAAATCACAAAATTACTCTTAGTTTTTTTTTTTTTGTAAGAGTTTGACAAAAAGGAAAGTTAGGCACATTGACACTAGGAAAAATAGAGAGGAAAGATTCTTCAATTAGGCTTAGACCCTACATGTTCCCACATGTGATTTTCCTTTTTTGGTTCGACGTATTGAGCTTATTTATCTTTTTATTTTCTGAAAAAAAATAATTTCCAATTAAACACATGAATAAATATTTTTCATATATCATCATAAAAAATGTCGAAAACTTAAAAATATATTTTTTTAATTTGATAATTTCTTGGAATAGAATTTCATTGGAATTGATAAAGCAATCTAAAATAATAAATAATATATGGCATACGATTGTAAACAGAAGGAGAGAGATATTTACAATATGAGACCATGTACTCCTTACGATTATTTACGCCTTGATTGGAAGGGGTTTTTTCAGTTTTTAGAAATTAAAAAATTAAAAAATATCTGTCAAGATTTTTTTATTTCACTTTTTTTAAAAACCGAGTAACTCACTTTTTTTTAAAAAATTACGTAAAAGTCAAAAAACAATCTTTTGTAAATTTTAAAGATTTGTTTTTTTAATTAAAAAATAATTATATAAATTATTCTAAAGATAAAAATGGCTATTATTTCGAAAATAATTTCACATTATACCTATGTTTATATAAAAACATTATTCTTATCATTTTTACCAAACTCATATTTGAATTTTTTTTTATAAAAAAACGAAATTTGAAATATATAATTCAAAATTTATTATTCAAAATATATATTGTAGTCATCATATATCTATAAATATACATTTATATATATATATGTATGTATATATATATGCATATATATATATATGTAGATATACATACTAATGTTGAATATATATATATATATATATATGTATTTGAACAATATAAATATAATGTATATATACACTTGCGAATGTGTGAATAAATATGTATTTTTAAATAGTATAAATATAGTGTGTATATATATACCTTTTTATTATTCTTATTATTAGTATTAATAAATATTATTTTTGTTTTAATAATAAAATTTTTTTTTGGTAATTTTTAGATATAAAATATTATTTTTACCAATCAAATTTTTTTAAAACTGTAAAAAAACTAAAAGCCGCCTTGAATGGTGGGAGTTTTTGGAGTTTTTAGAATAAAAAAACAAAAAAAACAACATTCAAGTTTTTACAAAATTACTTTTCCTAAAAACTTTAAAAGCCATTTTAGTGAAAAAATCAATGAAAAACCAAAAACTACTTTTTTTGAGTTTTTAAATATTATAAAATCCAAAAGCCAAAAACCGAAAACTAAAAACCAAAATCCAAAAACTAAAACAAAAAACTCAAAATAAAAGCCATCTCCGTTCAAAGCAGCCAAAAACTCAAAATAAAAACCACTACCATTCAACCCCTTTATTAAAAAAAATCTCGATCAATTATATTTGTTAAATTATTTTACTTTATTTTTGTTAATATCTCCAAAAATAATCAAATACTCCGAAGAAAACGATTGCATGACATTGCCGCAGATATTGAAAGAAATAGGATCTGATCGGCTAAACCCATTTAGAATCAATCTAGGCTCTTTAATTGTGAGATAGAGATGTAGAATTATAGAGAGACTTGCATGTTCATCACAACTGCCAAACCGGAATCGGTTCACTTAAAATGAAAACCGGGCCGAAATCCAGAGTCTCCGAGTGAGTCGGAGGGTTTCGCTATTAGTCATCAACAGACAACAGCCTTGCCAAGATTTCTCCTTTGCCTCCGTGAGTTTTGTTGCAAATTGTTAACATTGGCTTTATAACGAACATTCAACCTGGGAGTTATCGCGTCAAACGTGTGTATATACTTCGTATAGTTATATACCAGCGAGGTCTTTTGTGTATTTTTATTTTTCCCCGTTTATAATATTTTAGAATATGATTATTTATATTATTTCTATGATGCATTTAATAAAATTAAATTTATAAATTTATAAAAATTCAAATTTAAATTTAAATATAATATCTGAAATTTTTTTAAAATAACCGAACAACTGTTTTTTTTTTAAAAAAAAATTGAAGTTTTTTACTGATAAAAAATCAAATCGTACCGAACTGAAATTAATATAAAAGCCAAATGGTTAAAGTTTTTTAATAATCGAAATAACGGAACACATATAACCGGATCGAATCTCGACCGAAACCCCCAATGGCGATCCTAATATTTACCGTAAATAAGAGATGGATCAAGGAAAAGGCAACATATTTAAATCAAGAAGCCGTAGAAACACCATCAGAGAGCATACTGATAATACAAAGAGAAATCTCTCCCAACTCGAACAAACTGTAATTCTCCCTACCCAGAGGAGACCTCCACACATCATCATCATCATGATCTCCTCCTCCATCTCTCTCTGCGAACCCTTGTTCGCACGTGACGGCCGCGTCCATGGCGGCACTGACCATAACGTCCGCCGTCCCGAACTGTCCCTTCAAGAACGCCCTCACCGCATCGGCAAGCTCGTCCGCCGCGTCCTGATAGAGCTGGAGGCAGTCACGGAGGCATGCCACTCCATAGCCGTCGAACCCTCCTCCGGCCATCATCCGTTCAATGGTCGATGCGGTGGCGGTGGCGTTGTCGAGGGCCTCGAGCATCGGGACGACGGCCATGGCCGTGAGGTTGGTGGGTTGTCCGATGGGCGACGCCTCAAGAGAGGACACGCAGAACGTGGAGTTGAAGATTTCGGTTTTGGCGGCGCATTTTTCGCAGGTTTTGACGATCATATCGTCCGAGGTATGTGCCGGAGAGACGAGGATGAACAATAACACCATGGAAATGAGATGGAGAGGGAGATTCATTGTGTTTATGATGATGCTGATTTTGCTTTGGCATCCATGAGAGGATTCTTATAGGATATATATATATATATATATATGTCATGTGTATGATGTTTGTTTGATTTGATACGACAATTTGGAGAGATTTTTATTGTTGAGTGAAGCGTCATCAAAGGGAGTTTTGTTTGCTTCTACTCAAACGGAACGGCATATAAAGGTATCCATTACTGCGATTGTGGAAAACTATATTTTTGTATTCGAATTATGATGGAATTGAATATATTCCTATTTAATTTCGTCAAATTTAATTCGATTCAATTTGGGTTCATATTTTATAGAACTTGGTTTAAAACCAATTTGACAAGTTTTTGAATTTTTGTATGTTTTTAATCATATCGGATTCGAATCTATAGAATCAAGCAAAAAATATCACCTTTGGTACCAAATCAGTTAATCAATAGAGAGAGAGAGAGGATAAGAATGTGATTTTGTTCAGTGACGACAAGTATATGTCGGTTGCAAAAAACAAGCAAAGCAAAGAGGATGGGGACACGAAAGACATCTCAACGGCCTCGTATGGGACAACTCCTGTCCCTTGGCTTTGCATGCAATGCATGGATGATCTTTGTTTCGATTTGACATTTGAACCAAAACAAAGATTGGAAATTTCAAAGTGTTTTAGATGTAGATATTGATTATACGATTGTGATCTGATTCCATTCAAATCGATAAAATAGCATTCTTATTAAGTTTGAGCAATGGAGTGGACGGTGTGTCATCCATCGAGAAGATATTCTCTTTTTTTTTTTTTTAATCGATTTGCAATTTTGATTTAAAATAAAGTTTAGGATTTTTCAATGCTTCATTTGTTAAATTTGGATTTCTTTTTGGCATTCTCAAAAAACTTTTTTTTCGCATATAAAGAAATCCGATTGACTGCGAAGAAATTGTTGAATTCTGGTGATTGATTGACAGTAAAGATTGAGATTGGTGATAGAGAGAATACGAAAGATCAATTTTTCCTGGGTCCGCCATTTTCGCACCCACTCGCTCTCTTCCCTCTCTCCCGCTCGATTCTCCGCACTGCAAAACCCTTGTTTCCGGTGTGGGTTTCTTGTTAGGGTTCCGTCGATCGCCGATCAAAACAGTAATCGCCGGAGAAAATTTTCCGTCAGATTTTGGGTATTGTCCTTCTCCCCCTTTCCCCCCTTCGCATTCTGGTTTCTCTTCCTCGGAAAATGTCGACCATGAATGACACATAAATCTCTGGGTTCTTCGTTGCTGCTTTGTACTGAGTTGCGAATCTGTTGCCTTCTCGATTTCTGGGTTCCTTTTCGTCTCTAATTCGGATTCCTTTTTCTTGTCGTGGTTTCCTTCGTCTCTAACTGCAACTCGTGGCATGATCTCTGTTTCAGATATAAGAATTCCGTGTAGAAACATCAAACATGTTTTCTGATGCATTTGAAAATTACTTCATCCTAATCACAGTAGATGTCCGATTTAGCAATTTCTGAGTTTATTGAACCCCCGTGTCGGAACAGAGGAAATCATATACTTACATATTCTAAAGGTGTTTTTTTTTCCGGTTCTTTGTTCAGTTGGCTTCATCTCCTGTTGCGCTGGTTCTATGTTGCTGGAAATTGGTAATTGCAACAGGCCAAGTGCCCTGTGCTTTTTCATCCGAGATTGTCTCATATTGCAAATTTACATTTGGCGGTGTTACTTGCAGGCTGATCTAAACAAAAAAAATGAAGAAGGAATGTATGTGCATAGCTTTCTCCACATGGTCAGCTCCGGCACAAAATGTAGACGCCGAGTGCTTCTTCCCCCGGTTTCGATGATTTTGTTGCAGAAGGAGAAAATGGCTGAGTGGGCAGAAAATTTCGAGGGCAGTGGAAATTTCCAGAGCTTTAGCTTCTTTGTTTGCTGAACTGTGAAGTAATTTCCTTCATCGGCTAAAGGCAAGTGATGTCCTTCCTCTCCATGTTTGCTCTTCATCACAAGTTTATTTTGCAGTTGATGGAAAAAGGATATGGCAGATTCTAAAGACCAAAGCTCGTGGCAACAATTCATGTAAAAGAGAGTCAGTTGAGAAATCAAATCATGCTGCTTTCGAATAGTTAGACAGTTTTTCTTTCGCTATTTCTAACGAGCGTCATCTGCATTAATGGCTCGCCTGATTCACTTCTTGGCCTTTTGCCAGCTTCAGATGCTAAGCCTGACATTCTGTGTGAACCGAAATTTAAGCTCCAGTTCATCGATAGAGTCAGGGCAGGCATGGTGGATTCAGGTCAGCAGAAAAAAAGTATTCAATTTCTAAGTAGCCTTCCCTCTCTTATTAAAACATTTAAGCTGCAGGTTTATGGAATGGGCATATGCATATTGATGGGTATTTTTCTTTGGTAACGGTGGGAACTCGGCCACATCGCTCCGGGCGCGGTGATAAACACTCTGGCTTCACGTAATAGTCTGCAAACCACGTGAAACAGGTAAACCATACAAAGCATGAAAGACTCGTTGGAGAGTGGAATCGAACTCATGGACTCTTTTGCCACTAAACCAGGTCCCAAAGGGCGCATATTGATGGGTATTACCTATCCAAAGACGCAATTTTTTTTCGAGCCTTTTGAAATGTTTCAGTTCTGTGGAACAGAACAGTGAAGAGCAAAGGCACGGGAGAGACAGTGGAGAAGAAGCACCTGGTCGAGGCTTGTTCAATTGAATTCCTTGCCATATTTGGTACGTCTCTTTGATTAAAATAAAAAAAAAGGTTATCAAGGCAATGTGTTTTTATAGGAGAAGTCTTGTCTGGACCCTTTGGTGGGGGGACAAAGCACATTGATGAGATGCATTATTGCCTGGCCAATCTCTACTTTAATAAAAAAAAATTGTTTCCTTTTTTGTACCATCATTTAAAGTCTTCTTCTCTCTTCTTCTCACCAAACTCTTTCTCAGACCACAAAATCTAAACCCTAAAAGCTTAAACTTTGTTTTCACGTTTGCGTTTGCGTTTGTTGTGACATGCTGTTTGAATGTGATGCATTCAAGGTTTGGCATGTACGTTGCATGAAATCAGGAACATCGAGTCAGACATCATGCATGAAAGGTTCAACAAATGTTAACAGAGACGCCAATCTTAAAACCAAATGCACGATTCCATGCATTTTATTTAAAAAACCTTGAATTTTATCATCTACTAACTATAAATTGGTTATTAAAAATATGAAAATTAATTATTTAGAAAAAAAGGGAAATTAATTATATACATAAATATCTAAAATATATGTCAACTGTCACGTTAAGAAAATGTTGCGATGTGTATGTGGTGCTGAATCAAAGTCTGTTGTGTCATAGATGTTACGTGTCTCTCTCCATGGACCACACTTTGATTTTCACCCTTCAAGTAAAAAACGAACCAAATCTCTCTCAACATTTTCACGAGAAAATTCTCACGACATTTTCCCTGGAAAGTTCTCTTGAGAGCCTGAAAGAAAAGCAACACTGAACATACACACAAGCCTTGGTCTTGTGGAGATGAAGAGCCTTAGCCTCAGCTTTTCGGAGACTTTGTACCACACAAGGTAAAGCTAAGTCACTCTATTATCTTATCCTTCTCCTCTGCATTTTCTTCAATAATTTGCCAAGAATTTTACTAATTTTGAATAGAATTAGCAATTAGTACTCGATTCGAAGCGTGTTTTGGTTGGTCTAGGAAATTGTTTTAAGAAATGGGCAACACTTATAACAGTGGAGGAACAAAGACCGTATATTACATTCCTTTATTGATGTCTGAATCCTCCTTGGAAAATTTACTGATTTTCTTTAGATTCATTCTCTTGTTTCTACAAGGAAAGAGAAGGAAAAGCTGTGCTTGGAACATCTTTTATAGGAGTTAATTTGTGTTGCAAACAGGTTGACAGACGTTGCACTCGCGGACCAACCCTTGCTGAAATCCGGTGGGTACGGCTGCAAGACTCTCTCGTGCCGATATCCGTCCTCTTTGAGATTGTGAGCACTCAAAATAATCTCACATTGTGCCTAGAAATTGTCAAGTTTTCGTGAAAATGTTACAGAAGAAAATGGTTGTATTTAAATTACAAATTATCTCGGATTTTGTTTTTTCGTTCTCTGAGACAGTGCTTGCTGCCGTGCAACTCTGTCTGCGGTGGAGAAGAAGGAATCGTCATCTGATGGAGAAGAAACTGTGGCATCACTCGTAGAGGAGCTCAGAGATAATTTCAAGACCGGCAAAACTAAGAGCTACGAGTGGCGAATCACTCAGCTCGAGGGCATTGCTCGTATGATAGACGAGAAATCAAAATATATTGCCCAAGCTTTACGGGAAGACCTTAACAAACCCGAACTCGAAGCCTTTCTTGCCGAGGTTCATCGATATTGCCCCGGTTTTTCTACTGTTAAATCCATCTAATCATGTGCTTGCGTCACTATAATATATAATCATATGTTACATGTCAAACTGAATGAAATAAATTACATTATGTGTTTTCTTTTTCTCAGATTTCGAATACGAAATCGTCGTGCATGTTGGCAATTAAGGAGCTGAAGAACTGGATGACCCCGGAACCGGTAACTATTCATCTTAGCCCGATGGCCGGGTTTTCATCAATATGTTTTAGGTCTGAAACATTATGTATCCTCTGACCTGTAATGATCTTTCAGGTCACTACTTCAGTAACAACGTCTCCATCCTCTGCAGAAATAGTTTCAGAACCTCTTGGAGTTGTTTTGATTATATCGGCTTGGAACTTTCCTTTCTGTAAGTGTTGTGTAAATCCATTAAATGTCCTAAAAGATTCTGAAAAAAAAAATCTCATAACGAATCAGACATGAGTGCCTTACTGTTTGTCGTTTTTTTCGCTCCAGTGTTGGCCATTGATCCGGTAATTGGAGCTATCGCAGCCGGTAATGCCGTGGTGCTAAAACCTTCAGAAATCGCTCCAGCAACGTCATCTCTCTTAGCCAGGCTTTTCAGGGAATATTTGGACGGAACAACGATAAGGGTTGTCGAGGGTGGTGTCCCCGAAACAACGACACTGCTCGAGCAGAAGTGGGATAAAATATTCTTCACCGGTCTGCCCTTCTAATATGTTTCTGCTACTATTTCCCTCATTGTTTCAGAAAGTTTTTCTTGGGTTGTTTAAGAAAACGTTATGATCTCTACATAGGCGGAGCACGAGTGGGTCGGATCGTGATGTCTGCAGCTGCAAAGAACCTTACACCAGTGGTTCTTGAACTTGGAGGCAAGTGCCCGGCTGTTGTTGATTCGGATGTTAATCTACAAGTACGTTGATATGCTCGAATTAAATCGTGAAATGGCTAAAAAAATGTGAATCGGCTATTAGGGTGTTCGTTATTTTGATGTGATTGAAAGGTCACTGCAAGGAGGATTATAGCGGGAAAATGGGCGTGCAATAACGGACAAGCTTGCATTGGCGTAGATTACGTTATCACAACCAAAGACTTTGCGCCAAAGCTGGTAAAAATCGACGTACCGAGAATGATGAAGTTTCGGTTACCTCTTTGCTTAAGCTTTCTGATTCCAACCCATCTGATATTTCCTTACAGATTGAAGCTCTGAAAAGCGAGCTGGTGACATCTTTCGGTGAGAATCCATTGGAATCCAAGGACATATCGCGTATCGTGAGCTCTTTCCACTTCAAACGGTTAGAGTCTATGTTAAATGAGAGCGGAGTTGCGGACAAAATCGTCATCGGGGGTCAGAAAAATGAAGAAAAACTGTAAGACTCTCTGCTTCTTTCAATACATTTGCTCATTCCATACATACTTCAGAAGATGTCACCGAGCTATTCGTTTTCTTTACTTTCCACTTTGCAGACAGATTTCTCCGACAATACTTCTAGATGTCCCCGAGGGCTCTTCCATGATGCAGGAAGAGATATTCGGGCCGCTACTTCCGATAATTACGGTAACCATTCTCTGTAGGATGAATTGAATCCAAACACATCCATCCACAAGACGAAAACTTTATATGAACATGTTTGCCATTCTTGTGTTGTTTGGTTGCAGGTTCAGAAGATAGAGGACGGTTTTGAGATCATAAGATCGAAGCCGAAGCCATTAGCCGCATATCTCTTCACTAACAACGAGTTGTTGAAGAAGAAGTTCGTGGAAAACATCTCTGCAGGAGGAATGGGAATCAACGACGCTGTCCTACACGTAAAAAAAACTTCTACCCACACCATAAGGATCTGATACCATATAAATCCGACATAACTCCAATAACATTCGCACGGTTTTTTTTGTCTTGTCCTGTGTTCTTGAAATGTCTGCAACTGAGGAGACTGTTGTTTTTCCGCAGGTAACGGTGGATGGATTGCCGTTTGGAGGGGTGGGAGAGAGCGGGATGGGAGGGTATCACGGGAAATTCTCGTTCGAAACGTTCAGCCACAAAAAGGGAGTGCTTTACAGAAGCTTTTCATGGGACTCAGATCTCCGATATCCACCTTACACTCCAAAGAAGCAGAAGGTGTTGACGGCTTTGCTCTCTGGAAACCTGTTTGATGCCATTCTCGCTCTCTTCTGATCCGCTTTTAACTATATATATATATATATAACTTGAATTTTCTGTCGTCTTCGACGGTACGAGTGTAGTTTCCTCGACCAGACTGACTTGGTTATACGTGAGCATGAGCTCCATGTCAGAAAAAGCTCGGTCTTGATGAAAAGGCTTACGATTTCACCTATTTTCTTTACTGCCAGTGATGATCCTGGAAGTTATACATGTATATACACACATATGTGTGTGTGTGTGTCGATGTTTTGCTCAAATGGCGTTCGTCATGGTCGTGCAATCCACAAACGTGGTGGGTAACGACGCATATGACCTTGAAGTCATGAATATGTTATATATTGTTTTTTCACATTGAACCGAAACAACGCGGTCGGAGAAAAAAATATAAAATAATTACAAAACCCAAGCAACTTCTATCTTTTTAGTTACAAAAGAGAAGATAACTCTCTCTATTAACACAGATACCCTGAGAATTAGTTTAAACTTTAAATTTACAACATTTATTCGTAAAAATTGCAAAACGGCCCCTTTACTCTCTAACGGCCCTAACAAAACCCTGTACCCTGTTTTTGTCTCTGAGTAAACAACTTATGGCAACAATGTCAGTTTGAAGAAAATGTGTGTAAGAAACCTAACTTTCCATCGCCAAATCTGTGTTAGAGAAACTTCATTGCTTTATGTTGTATCAAGTATCTTCTACGAAGACTCTGAAGATGAAATCCCGGAAACGTCTCGAGTATTGTTTTGGATCGACGGCTGAGATCGAGGTCGGGTCATACTGCATGGATTTGTAGGCGTGTTCGAGTTTCTTGCTAATATCGTAGTCTTGGAGGATGTCTATTATGCCAAAGTAGAGAATCACATCGTAGAATTCGCCGGCCGGGTCCCCGACAAGCTGAGCCTCACAGTCATTTCTTCTCACCGTTCTTTCAACCCTCACCGGCATGTTTATACCTAACTTAATGGAAGCTAACCTGAACGATCCAGACAGCGAGCACGATGTAATAATTCTACAATGTGAGATTTGAATGTGTTGAATTTGAGCATCGGGTTTTGATTCTTACCTGCTGGCATCAAGAAGAAACCGATCTATTTCTGCTCGGGAGAGACGAGGAACGTTTCCTGTTGGATAGATCACAAGATTTTCTCAATCTCGAATCAAGAATTCATGTTTGGGGATGGAATATGTGGAAATGAGATATGACAAGGAAATACCGGTGGGAGTTCGGGCACCGGAAGGAGGAGTGGCAGTACCCCTAGTAGAAGCTTCTCGAAAGTGCATTCCCACCAAAAGACTATAATCCATGATTCTCTCTTGCTCGAGGAACTCGCAGTCTCTGTCGACTTGCCTGTGAAAAAACGAAAGAGAATGGTTTACTGACTGAGAAGATAAGGGGAAAACAGTGTACAAGACAATAGTAGACTCTTCACCTGCAGAACTCTTGATACCAGTTCTTCTGTAACCGGAATATGAAATTTAGATCGAGGTCTTTGAGTGTCGTGTTTGGGTCGATTTCAGACTCGGGTTTAGTCGTTAGTCGGCCATGGGAGGATCCCTTAAGGTCAAACCGCCTGTGGATTGAATACTCGGTACAGAACAGATTCCCCATTATCACAAATCGAACCTGCAATATGAATCCCTGATGAGTATGGGACGAAACTGACTTCATGAAGGTCAAGAAGACCGATAAAACGAAAAATTTTAACCTTCTTCTGTGCAGTGCCCGTCAGTTTCACACAATGAAGGCCAAAGAACTTGGTAACTAAAGTGTTCTCACATGCTCTGACATGATTGTAGTATGCAGGAAGCATCCTTATAAGCACCTGTATCACATCGGAATTGTATACACAGAGATAAGTTTCTAAAATATCTTGACAATCTTGTAAGCATATTTCATACAGAACTCGGGATTGAGTTGGAAACAATTTACTTTTGTCTCGGCCTTCTTCATAGTCTTGATCATGTAGCGGTCGTCATTGGTTAAGTAAAAAAAGCTTCCACTTTTCCCCGGGGAAGACAGTTCCCTAAGTGCATCATTCCCACAAATTGATATCATGTAATCAGCTGCATCTACATTGAACAATTTCCTCAGGGTCCTGGAAAAGACAAGATTTTTATAAAATACCAAACAAGTGAAGGGTTGTGAACACAGTGATTGAGTTTGTTTCCGAATTTTCTGACCTGAAAACCACAGGGCAGTAGTCCTTCCATTTAAACTCGCAAGATTGGTGCGGAGGGGTGTGTTTGGATCCTTCAGGAGGAAATTTTGTCCAAACCTTTTCCTTCGGATCAAAAGCTGAAGCCTTTAGATCAAGAGAAGTGGCTGGAGCCGGTCTTCCGACAGAATGCCTGCACGATTCCCGCAGTGTATCAATCAAACATGAAGACAATAGATTTAAGAAACATCATCTTCCTCAATCTGAAGAATTGAGCAACAGTGTAGCCAAATTATACCTGATTCCTAGCTGCAAGTTAAGCATGAGTTCATAATTCTTGTGCCCTTTAGAGATGGTCTGCCCTTGCTTCTTTGGAAGCTGTATCCTCAAAGGGCTTAATCTAGTATTTTCCTCTGCACAAACCGAATCATCTAGCTGAAGATATCCAAACCCATTCTTCATATCCGCCTCAACGTTGCTTATCCTTCCATCCACCGATCTCCTTCTCGGCCTGTTATTCTCATTTTTGGCCCTATTCCCTGTCTGCTCTACCCCATACCAAACTGGCATTTTCTGAGAAGGCAAGACCGGGATTCTGTCACATTGGCTGACAAGGCACTCGCTCAGATCGACGTAAAACACCTGTTGTGGGTCCCAATCCAAGTTTCCAGAAGAAGAACTCGAAGGGTAGTAAGTCCCGTTCTGTTCCTTCGGATCTTTGCTCCAAACACCAACATAGAAACTCCCTTCTGCCCATCGAAATGTTCCGTTGCCTTTAGGAGCACCATCTTCCCAAAATCCATCATAACGATTCCCGTTGCTCCATATCATTGTACCATTCCCATTCATTATCCCGTTTTTCCATTGACCAATATAGTGGTTACCGTTCTTCCATTGATACCTCCCATGCCCATCTTGCAGCCCTCTCCTCCATTCTCCTTCATAGCCGTCTCCATTGTCATAGTTCTTTGTTCCTTGCCCATGTCTGAGATTCATCACCCAAGATCCTCTATAGGTATCACCGCATGGACCAATGTAAGTACCTGTTGTGACCCAAATATGAAATGCATTTGATCATGCACCAGACCAAGCAAAGATTGGAAAGAATCCAAGAAAATATCATAAAGCAATTCATCCTACGTCCCTCCACAGAAAAATTCCTGCAACAAAACTTTAGATATCGAGATCCTATCCGAAAGATGCTATCCCCTTTCAATGAAAACTTCCTTGTTCATCACTAATAGCAAACATGTTGACATAATCTATGATGAAAACCAGTTCAGATTACACATAATACGAACTTTGACCCCAAAACATCTTCCTTCTCATCAAAATTTCGTTTTCTCATTAATCACAAATTCAAAAAGCTTCCGGCATTCGATCAAGCATTGCATATTCGTCATTCATGTGGAAGATTATGTCTCAAAAAATATTACAGATCAGACGGGAAATGTCAGCCCCCGACATGAACATGAAAAACTCATAAAAAGAAAGCAATCTGACATTAAAGCCTAATCATACCTTTTCCATCCATATATCCGTTCTTGAAATCACCTTCGTACGTAGCACCACTGGGCCAACTAAAGCGACCTTTGCCCATCGTTTTCCCTCTGCACCATTCTCCAACATACATACACCCATCGGTCCAAAGATACTTCCCATGTCCGTGGGGAAGATTATCCCGCCATTGCCCCGTGTAGAAATCCCCACTCGGCAAAGCTTTCTCCGCGTGGTAAATCTCTCCCGAAGGTCTTCCGAAATCGTCGGCATCGTCGGCGTGCGCCACGGACATCGTTTCCTCGTGTTTATCTTTTGTCTTCGTCTTCTTCTTCTTCGTTCTGAGTCAATTCCAAAAACCCATGACTCAGATCACATTTCTTCTTCCTCGTTCACGTGCTTCTGTTTCGTTCGTCCAAACCCATATCGCAAATGACAGATTTTCTCCGGAAACGAATGAAATCACGGGGGAAAAGGCAAATGGGAATCTGGGTCCTCCGAGTTTTCTCTGTTTCAACGGAGGGAATGATCGTATTGCGAGAGAGGTAGAGAGAGGAATGCAATGACGCTGTTTGAGTGACGAGAGAAAGAGATAGAGGAAGCCGAAACGAGAGAACAAAAAGTATCGTGTATAACGTTTTTGTGCTTATTTTTTCCTCTGGGGATTTCGATTGAGGATCCGAGTTTGGTAATAGCCATTGTTGTTGGAGCTCCGCTTTTGATTCCTAAAGAGACTACCACACCAGACATTTGGAGGGAGGAGCGACAAACGACGTGAAGACCGTCACGAATGATGACGTCATTTTTCCTTTTTTAGTTATTTTTTAACCGCTCCATATAACGCCTTTCCATTCTTTATGTTTATATCTTAGCCGCGGCTTGAAATCCCATCAAAATATGCACCACTGGGTTATATGAATACATTAATTTTTAATTTAATTCATAAATACATCAATTTCACAATATTTGCCTTGATGGCATAAGTACGGCACATCAGCAACTTTTCTTTTAAATTGCCACGTCACGAATTACATATATATATGCGGGCACTACATATATATACATAAATATGTACAGGTATACACGTATAACGTGAAAATTATGATTGGGTTTGTGTTTGGACCGTTCTTTTTATTTGTTGTGGGCTTTGGTGCGTTATTGATTTCATCTGGGCTGATAAATGGATAAATAATGGGACAAGGTCCTATGTTAGTAATACATGTGGAGATAGCAAAAAGAAAAAGAAATTACGATGTTTTGGAATAATTCACACTAAAAACAAGTAGACTATAAAACTTTAAAAAAAAGGAATATATTTCGCTAATTTTTTTATATATATCAACAGTTTTTTTTTTCATTTTTTATCATCGACAATTTTTTAATAACATTGCTTTCAAATTCAAAAACTATTCATTTTTTACTAGGTACTTTTTTGTCCATAAGCATGGTTCTAAATGCGAAGAATAATCAATTAACCATCAATACCCAATATTTTACTCAGAGCCAACCCAAAAACTTACATTAAATGAAACCCAAATTATCTGTCAAATAATAAATTCTAAAACAATAGAATTTTGGTCAGAAATTATTCAAGGATTTTCTTCCTGTTTTCTTTTTGTCGCAATGATGCACCACTGGTGTATATATATACACACACACACACACATATATATATATATATATATATATATATATATTACACCAGAGGTAAAGAACAATGGTGCCACCGACACTTGCCTCGAATTATTTTGGGAATTTTTCAATATTAATTAAAAAAAAGAGGAGAAAAAAGGTAACGTGTGACGTCGTTCATGATGTCTTTGGGGGAAAAGCCACAGTGACAAATCTCCACGCTACACTATAAATTTAATAATATCTACCAAATTCGTAGTTGTGTAATTGGTACTTACCGCTTTGTTGGTGAATCTTTTTATTAACTAAGTATAATCTTTTTTATATATGTGTATATGCACAAACAAATACAATATAGAGGGATAAATATGTATTTTTACATGTGTATTATTAGGTTAACCTATTTGTATAAATACCCTCATATGTGATTAATAATACTAAGCTTCCTTTTATTGATTATATGGTATCAGAGCCAACCCTAATTATTTTGTCGGCGCCATCATCTCTTCTCGTCATCTCCACCGCCTAATCTGTGCAATATTCGCCGGCGCAACATGTCTTCTTCAAATATCTTTGCTGCGCATGACACCGAAGAAGTCACTACCTTTGATGCCCAATCTCCACAAAAGACATTGTTATTTGTCAATATGGCAAATATCACGAAGCTTACTTCCACAAACTTTCTAACATGGAGCATCCAAGTGAAAGCACTCCTTGAAGGCTACAAGCTAGACTGCTTTATTGATGCCTCTTCTGCAGTTCCTTCTGTCACCGTGACTACCGACGGTGTTTCTACCGAAAATTCGGCTTTCGGTCCTTGGAAACAACAAGATCGGCTTTTGTTCAGTGCCTTGCTGGGCACGATATCAATTTCTCTTCAACCCTTAGTTGCTCGGGCAAAAACTACCCTCGAGGCTTGGACCATCGTCACCAACACTTATGGGAAAGCTTCCCGCGGACATCTCTTGCAACTTCGTGATCAGATCAAGAGGAGTGTCAAAGGCTCTCAATCACTTGATGAATATCTTCGTTTCATCACGTCAAAAACCGATGAACTTGCTCTCCTTGGTAAGCCGATGGATCACGAGGATGTTCTTGAAGCTATCATGGATGGTCTTCCGGAAGAGTTCAAACCCGTCATTGATGTGGTCAATGCTCGGGACACTGCAATTCCTATTGACGAGCTTCATGAGAAGCTTCTCAATCATGAAGCAAAGCTGCTCCTTTCGTCCTCCTTGCCAGTGTTGTCATCGGCTCCTGTCTCGGCTAACAATGTCTCGTCGAGACCGCGCCATTCCCCTCGTCATCCTGGTCGCTCGAACTGGCCCCGAGGACCCTCTCCTTCGTCGTCTCAGACCAAGGGTTACATGGGTAAGTGTCAAGCTTGTGGCACTCAAGGGCATAGTGCCAAGTATTGCCCTCGGTTTCGGATAGTTTCCGTCAATGGCTCGACAGATTCACCATCGTGGTCCTCTCCGTCTCGCTTTACTCCACCGCAAGCACACCAAGCTGTGCATCCTTCTTACGATGCGCAACAGTGGTTGTTGGATAGTGGTGCCTCTCACCACATCACCACGGATCTACATAACTTGGCGATTCATAGTCCTTATCAAGGCGGAGACGACGTGGTTGTTGGTGATGGCTCCGGGCTACCTATCACGCACACGGGTTCCCTTTCGCTCTCTCTTGCTAATCGTCCACTTAAGCTTGTGAATGTTCTTTGTGTTCCGGCCATGTGTAAAAACTTGGTCTCGGTGAATCAATTGTGCACCGCTAATGATGTTTCTGTGGAATTTTTCCCGTCTAAATTTCAGGTGAAGGATCTCAGCACGGGGGCGCCAATCCTAACCGGACCAAGTAGGCATGGAGTTTATGAGTGGCCGGCACCTTCTATCTCTCGTTCGTCTCCTCGTGTGTTTTCGTGTGTCAAGTCCACTTTGTCCGAGTGGCATTCCCGTCTAGGTCATCCGGCTTTTCCAATTTTACGTTATATCTTGTCTTCTTTGAAGTTTTCTTTGTCTCGAGATTGTTCGTCCTTTGTTTGTCATTCTTGCAATATTAATAAAAGTCATAAAATTCCTTTTTCATCTTCCTCTCTTACCTCCACTAAACCGCTTGAAATTGTTTTCTCCGATGTATGGTCTTCACCCGTTCATTCGGTTGATGGTTTCAAGTATTACGTAATTTCGTCGATCATTTCACTCGTTATACTTGGTTGTATCCGTTGAAACAAAAGTCGCAAGTTCTTGATACATTCACCAAGTTTCGTCCTCTTGTGGAAAACCGGTTTGGGACTAAATTCATTCGGTTGATGGTTTCAAGTATTACGTAATTTTCGTCGATCATTTCACTCGTTATACTTGGTTGTATCCGTTGAAACAAAAGTCGCAAGTTCTTGATACATTCACCAAGTTTCGTCCTCTTGTGGAAAACCGGTTTGGGACTAAGATTGTGACCTTGTATTCGGATAATGGTGGTGAGTTCGTGGTACTTCGCCCTTATCTAGCGATGCATGGTATCTCGCATCTCACCACCCCACCTCACACTCCGGAACATAACGGAATTTCCGAACGTCGTCATCGTCATATAGTTGAAACCGGTCTTTCCCTCCTTTCGCATGCGTCTCTTCCTGTCTCATATTGGTCTTTTGCTTTCACCACCGCGGTCTATCTCATTAACCGTATGCCCACTCATATCCTTGGTATGCACTCTCCTTTTCGCAGTCTTTTTGGTTCCGAGCCGAACTACACTAAACTTCGTGTGTTTGGATGTCTTTGTTATCCGTGGCTTCGTCCTTACTCCTCTCATAAACTTGATTCTCGCTCTCGTGCGTGTGTCTTCCTTGGCTATTCTCCCACACAAAGTGGCTACTTTTGTCTTGACCCGGTGGATTTTAGGATTTATGTGTCTCGACATGTTAAGTTTGTTGAACATATATTTCCCTTTTCTAAGTCTTCTACCCTTACCCCTTCTCAAGCCATCGAGTCTGAGCCTCCATCTGGTTCTTCTTCCATTGTCCAGCCACTCTCCTCTTTTCGTCTGCCGCTCGAAGCTCCTGCCTCTGCTCAGCCCCCACGCTCGGATTCTTCCCTGATGCCGCCTGCAACTTCGGCTCCTCTTGTCCAGTCCCCACCGATGGTCTCATCCTCACCGCTCCTTCAGTCTTCTGCTGCCTCTGACATTCGGAATGTCCATCCCATGCAGACGCGTTCGAAGACAAATGTTCGCAAACCTAATCCGCGGTACGCTCTCATGTCGTCCTCTTCTTCGGTTGACATTGAACCGGCTTCTATCACGCAGGCCCTTAAGGATCAGCGCTGGAGAGCGGCCATGCATGATGAATTTGAGGCTCTTATACGAAATGGTACTTGGGATCTTGTTCCCTCTAGTGAAGCTGTCAATATTGTCGGTTGTCGCTGGGTTTTTCGGATCAAACGCAAAGCGGATGGCTCAGTGGATCGGTTCAAGGCTAGACTTGTTGCTAAAGGTTTTCATCAGCGTCCGGGAATTGATTTTCATGAAACCTTTAGCCCAGTTGTGAAGCCGGTCATGATTCGTGTGGTTCTTAGTCTTGCGGTGACTCATGGTTGGCCATTACGACAACTTGATGTCAATAATGCATTCTTGCAGGGTAATCTTACTGAGGAAGTATATATGTCGCAACCTCCTGGATTTATTGACTCCGATCGTCCTCAACACGTATGTAAACTTCGCAAAGCAATTTATGGGCTTAAGCAGGCTCCTCGAGCCTGGTATTCGGAACTCCGTTCCTTTCTGCTTGCTCGGGGTTTCAAGAACTCTGTGGCCGACACATCGTTGTTTGTTTACATCACTTCAGAGGTACGCCTTTATGTTCTCGTCTACGTGGATGATCTTATTGTTACGGGAAGTTGTTCGGCTCAAGTTCAACAGGTTATTTCATCGATTGCCATGCGGTTCTCTATCAAAGACTTGGGTAATCTCTCGTATTTTCTTGGTGTTGAGGCACTTCGCACCGACCGTGGTCTGCTTCTAACTCAGAGGAAGTACATCACAGACTTGCTTCAACGTGCTGAAATGTCCGATGCCAAACCAATTTCCACGCCTCTTGCTTCGTCGTCCCGACTTACTGTTGTCTCTGGGGACCCTATTCCGAATCCGACTGAGTATCGTACACTTGTGGGTAGTCTTCAGTATTTGTCTCTCACTCGCCCGGATTTAAGCTTCGCCGTCAACAAACTCTCCCAGTTCATGCATGCTCCGACTGATCAACACTGGCAGGCTGTTAAACGTGTGTTGCGGTATCTTGCGGGCACTCGTGACATCAGCATATTCTTGTCTGTTCAGAATCCTTTGACGTTGCATGCATATTCTGATGCTGATTGGGCTGGTGATCGTCATGATTTCAAGTCTACGGGAGCTTTTGTTGTCTTCCTTGGTGGTCATCCTATTGCTTGGTCATCTAAGAAGCAATCGGGTGTTGCTCGTTCTTCGACTGAGGCTGAGTACCGTTCGGTTGCTGCTACAGCCGCTGAGGTTCGTTGGGTGGTATCCCTCCTTTCTGAGCTCGGCTTTTCTTCAACTTCCAAACCGGTTATCTATTGTGATAACATTGGTGCAACTTATCTTTCGGCAAATCCGGTATTTCATTCTCGCGTGAAGCACATTGCCCTCGATTACTTTTTTGTTCGGAGTCTTGTTGAGTCTGGTGATCTACGTGTTACACATGTTTCTGCTGCCGATCAGCTCGCCGATGCACTCACGAAACCTTTGCCTCGGTTTCCGTTTCATGACTTGTTTGTCAAGATTGGACTCACCTCCGGTTCTTCATCTTGAGGGGGCGTATAGAGGGATAAATATGTATTTTTACATGTGTATTATTAGGTTAACCTATTTGTATAAATACCCTCATATGTGATTAATAATACTAAGCTTCCTTTTATTGATTATATACAATACATACACATAACATTAAGCATATATTGGTTCAACAGCTATAGGAAAAGACAGAACGACCAAGCCTTTCCATTGTTTAAAAAACTATTTCATTTTACCATTAAATTTTTTTATATTTCCAAAATTATGTCGAATAAAAAATATGAAAATACCTCACTACAGTAGAACCCTTTAACATTAAGAGATTGTAATTAATGCTTTATTTCCGTTGCTAATCAATGGTTCATGTATAGGGATTGACCAAAGTTATGATCATTATGCTTAATTAACAAAGCATAGGATCCAGATTATTTCATAAAACTATGTATTATTATGGCATATATATAGAGAGAGAGTATCCAAAGCATATCTAGACTTCATGTCACCTCATGTTGAAAGGGTTATTAGCGCATATTAGTGTAATTAGAGAATTGATTTAGTGTCGGGATTCATAATTTTTCTTTATATTGTTTACTCTCTCAATTTAAAATGATGATAATGCATTAATTTTCTAATTGCACTAATAAAATCCAAATAAGAATCAATATAATTTGAAAGTTGTAGCATTTTTTGTTAAAAAAAGCCCTTCAAAAGTCGAAGTCATGGACCAAATAAATTGTATTTTTTATGGGGGGGAAAATAATGGAATGGGAAGTCGTGCCCAAAAGTAGCTTTTACCTGCGGATGGAAAACATAAAAAGAAATAGATAAATCATAAACAAAATATACTAAAAAAAATACATGAAAGGAAATTATAATAATGGCATGCTCATATTTTTTTAGACAAAACGTTATTGAAATATAAAGACACATAGTTGTAAAATATAAATTTGTGAAAGATTTTGTAATTTTTTTTTTCGAAGGGGAAAGTTGGAAATAGTCTTACCAATTTAAAATTTTGGCAAAATAGGTTTAAAATTATAAAAATGTTATAATGATTGGCATGGTCATATTATGATTACAATTTTTGGTGTTTCTCAAAGGACTCTCGCATTTTCTTGGGATCCGAGCAGCTCAGCACTTTTGCTCTTCATTTATCTGCCCCCCTTTTCCTTTAATTAGTGAAACAGTAAAAAAAAATTGTATAAAACCTTTTTATTAAATAATTGTTTATATAAAATATAAAATATTTTCTGAAAAAAACATCATATTTTATCACACTCGTTTTTTTTTTGTAAAGGATGTTCAAAGAAATGTTCATTCCAGCCTTTTTGTATTTTTAAGGGTGGGGATGAACGTTTCGGTAAACGGTTCGGGTTCGGGACGGAATGGATCGGTTCGGTTTTTTCGGTTTTACAAAAATAGGTACCAATCAGATTTTTTATTGTATTCGGTTCGATTCGGTTTCGGTATCGGTTCAGTTCGGTTCTGGATTTTATTAAAAAAATGTTAGATTTCCTTTAAAAATGTTCGGTTTTTCGGGATTTTTAAAGTTCGGTTCGATTCTGGAAAAATTCGGTTCTCTAAAAATGGTACCATTCGGGAAATAACGGCGGTTTCGGGTCAGAAAAAATATCGTTTTAACGGTTCGGTTCGGTCCGGTTTCGAAGAACCAAACCGAAACGTCCAACCCTAGTTAAGGGTTCAAGAAATCAAAATAATTTATCCACAAGTTCATTTTCAAGTTTATCAATTTGATAATTTAGAATATCAAAAGGTATTTCTTTCTCGCTATTAAATTTTTGTATGGATACGAGATTTCACATCTTCTTATGGAACCGATATTTCGTCAAGTCCAAGTCTCGAAAGACTTCTTGTGGAACTTCAAGTCCTTCCAAACTTACACTCCAAATCTTCAAATCACTATATCCACAACGTTACAGCAAGTACTATATTCGTGGAATTTCATATATATATATACATATATATATATATATATATATATATATTACAAATAAAATATTTATTATGGGCGAAAAAGCCGGTGTATATATATAGGTACACCAGTGACCGGAATAATTATACATTTTTCACCGATAAAGTACTATAATATTCGTGGAGTTTCATACACATATATATACATATATTTATATATTTATTATGTTGAGAACGAATGGCTGGAAATTTTGGTAGAGCCCCAAGAATAAATACAAGAATACAAGAGAAAGAAGACACGAATTAATAATTTAATCTAATTACCTGTGGAGCAATACCTCCACTTATTCAATATGCATACATGCATCCCACTTTTATTCTTGTTTTTTTAATTAGAAATTTTATTTATATATATATTAATTGTGGAACAACGCCTCCACTTAGGCAATAGACACGCCTCTTACTTTTACTTTTATGCTCCCTTATGATTTCCACACAGTTAACCCAAATCAGCATGTTTTTTTTTTCATGTATACTAAAAATATTGTTAAATATATATGTATAATAATGTAATAGCTTAAGAAAATTTAAAGAATCAAATAATATCTGTAACAGTGTTTATTTTGTCGAGATTAAAAATTACGAGATAATCTCATCTTGAGTTTTGATGACACAAATTTTGTGTGTGTGTGTATATATATAATTAATTTGTTTTTAAGTAAATATTTAAACCTATTCAAATAAGGAAAATGGAGAAGATAGTAAATATCTTCTCCTCATAACCAAAAAATACGCATTAACATTTTTAAGAGCTAAAAACGTTACTAAATCCAGGAGCAGAGACAGGTGGACCAATGATTCGATATTTGCAGTTTTTATAACATTTTCAGAATCTAGCTTTGGGATTCTACTTTCCATAATTGTTAATATATAATTTAAACCTGATCACTAAAAAAAGATAATAATAAATATATGAAATACAATCTTTTAATATATTTATTTTTAAAAAATTATGTTGCTTTGATACCCATATTAGTAGTCAGATCACTTAAACATACAATCACTAACAGTGACTGATGGCAAGCATTATAACGGATAGAATTTCGAAAGCAACGGTATTAAGAGACACGTTTTAACAAGTTCAGTTCTTTTGTTAGAAAAGTGTTTCACACTTTTTTTTAGGTTTCGCTCATAATTTAATTATATTTTAGTTTCTTTTTAAAATGGTCGAAGATTGTCGGTCCGATTTTGGACATTTTCTCGATAAATTTGTGGAATGCAAAATTTTAATTAATTTGTAGAAGTGGTGATATATAAAAAAAATATCATCCATTTACTATTTTAATTTCAACTCATATCATTCTCCAAATATGATCATGTGATCATAATAATATTATATATAATTACATCGTAGTCACATTGATCATAACATTAAATTTATAATGGTTTTACCAAATGATTAGTGTGATATATAAGATATAACTATGGTGATTTAATGTGATCACTATAAATTTAACGTTGTAATCAATGTGACCACCATATTATTCTGGTGACCACCATATTATTTTGGTCATGTAATTACATCCGAAGAAATATATGAACTGAAATCAAAATAATAGATGGAGAATATTTTTGATAATACCTCGACTAGAAGTTTTGAAAGAGTAATTCAACTTAAATTATTTTCCATATTATCAATTTAATCATCTCAAATTTTCGTAATAATATTCATCTATAATGTCATCATAGATTTAGCCTTTACTAATTAATTTAACGTACATAATATATAACCAACCTAGCTCATGGACCACCTTCCACTATAAATACCCTCTTTTACCACGCCAAAATCCCTCGCGCACACAAAAAAAAAACCCGAAAAAAATAAAATAAAAATGATTTCTCATATTCTCTTCCTTCAGCTTCTCCTCTTCATCCCACCAACACTCTCACTGAACCATCAACCCAACTGTGACCTAAACGCTCACAACCAAGGCTCAACCCTAAAGATCTTCCACATAGACAGCCCATGTTCACCCTTCAAACCCAAAACCTCACTCCCCTGGGAGGCGCGTGTACTTCAGATGCTTGCCGACGACGAGGCTCGCCTCCGATATCTGAGCAGCCTGATCGCCGGGAAATCTAACATCCCCGTGGCCTCGGGTCGTCAGATCCTAGGAACTCCCACGTACATTGTTAAGGCACGGGTCGGGACTCCGGCTCAGTCCCTGCTCGTGGCCGTGGACACGAGCAGCGACTTCACCTGGTTCCCTTGCACCGGCTGCGTCGGTTGCCCGTCGAAGACGGGTTTTTCGCCGGAAAAGTCGACTACGTTCAAGAACGTTAGCTGTAACTCTCTTCAGTGTAGGCAGGTAAGCGATTATTTTCACCTCATTCACTCCCTCAATAGAGTGCTGGTATTTAATTTTTATTCCATTCGACGCGCCCACGCGCCTTGAGCCGTATATACACCGGTACACTGATAAATGCGTATTTATTAGGTATATATATATATATATATGTGTGTGTGTACATGCATGTGTGGGCAAACAATTGGAATGTTTTGTGACCATATATTTATTTGCTCGTACATTTTTCTTACATCAGTAATGAATCTCAATTACGCTATAGCCTATATAACCATCACTTTTAACTATTTATTTAACCCCTAAGGAAATTGTAATTTTTTTTTTAAAAAAACTGTATGTATAGCTGTAACATAGCGTAAATCTTTAATTCTCTTCAAAATCTAAACAAACGAAAAAAAATTTAAAATATGTTTTTTAATATGGAAAACTATCTCCATCAACAATAACAACAACAAAAAAAAGTTCAACCTGAAAATTGTATAAAGAAACAAAATGGAAAACGACAATATCACAAACAAATGGCAATATCTCTCTTATGATCGTTCATGTAGTGGTCAAAGTTATGCAAAGAAGCAGATCCCACGTGGACGCGGTTATAATTCCCAATACTCCACAAGCTCCCAAAGAAGTTTCACGGGCCACTACTAAAACTATTTGCCATTATTTTATTTTAACTTTGTTAGACCTTAAATTTAGGAATTTCATTTTTTTTAATTACATTTATTACAAAAATAATAAAGTTTTTATTGTCGGTAACTAATGATTTTTTATTAAAGATATCAGATTTGATAATATCATATTATTTTTCATTACGGTTAGAAGTTAACAATTAAAAATTAAATTGTTTATAATTGGAATCGCACCCAAAATATTCGAGACGGTCCTTAGAATAATATAATGTATTTACTCCTTTAAACAAATCTTAGGATGCATAAAAAGACAAATTTAAGGAATAGTTTGATGACAAATGGATTATGCCTAAACGAAAAGTTACCTTAAAAAACATAAAAACATTTGAAGTTACGGGCAATTTACCCTATAAGTGACTCCGGACAAGTGCTTGAGCTCACACTTAAAAGAATATATTAGATTATTATGTAAAATCATTAGTATTTTAATGCCGAGTTGTCTCGTAGTGTTTTCCACTGATCTCAGGCATACACTTAAGAATTTGAAAAGATATATAAAATATATATTTATATATTCCAATAGATCCTATCCATTATTGGTTTCCTTTCAAAAGCAAAACCCGTCACGAGCTTTCCACTAAATCGAGACACAACACACAATCTCCCCTTCACGTGACACTTTTGCCATTGGATTTGCAGGTCCCCAATCCCACGTGCGGCACCGGCGCGTGCGCTTTTAACCTCACCTACGGCAGTTCCTCCCTCGCCGGAAACTTCTCTGTCGACACTCTCCGCCTCGCCGCTGACCCGATCCCCTCCTTCGCCTTCGGCTGTGTCCGCCGGGTCTCTGCAGGAGCCACCGTCACTCCGCCGCAGGGCCTGTTGGGCCTTGGCCGAGGCTCATTATCACTCTTGTCCCAGTCTCAGTCTCTCTACAAATCCACGTTCTCTTACTGTCTGCCGAGTTTCAGGTCACTTAACTTCTCCGGGTCGTTGAGATTGGGCCCGACGGCTCAGCCGATTCGTCTTAAGTTCACGCCTCTGCTCCGGAACCCTAGGAGGTCGTCGCTGTATTACGTCAAGCTCGTCGGGATCCGCGTCGGCCGGAAAGTTGTCGACCTCCCTCCGGATGCCATTGCCTTCAATCCCACCACCGGCGCCGGAACCATCATCGACTCCGGTAATAAAAAACGTTACCATTCTGGGTTTTTGCGATTACAATGAAATTCAAACTTATCATATATCTTTGTCTGTTTGCAGGGACAGTGTTCACTAGGCTGGCGACGCCGGTTTACGAGGCGGTGAGGAACGAGTTCAGGAAGCGCGTGAAGCCACGCTCCGCCGTCGTGTCGTCCTTGGGTGGTTTCGACACGTGTTATTCGACGTCGATCGTCGCGCCGACGGTGACTTTCGTGTTCCCCGGTGTGAACTTGACGATTCCGGCGGAGAATCTGTTGATCCACAGCACGTTGGGGAGCACCACGTGCTTGGCCATCGCGGCGGCGCCGGACAACGTCAACTCTGTGGTCAACGTGATCGCCAGCATGCAGCAGCAGAACCACCGCGTCCTAATCGACGTTCCCAACTCTCGGCTCGGCCTGGCCCGCGAGCGTTGCTCGTGAGGACGGGACGCTAGGCATGACCATGTGCTTCCACTCGTCGGAGATTAATCCTTGTTATTAATAAATAAATTAGAAAAAAAAAAACTTATATTTGGGTTTGTTGTTAAGGATTTTGATTGTCAAGTTTGTGATATGGTAACGTGTTTTTGTTGATCGACTCTCGGGTTACTAGAGTACACTCGTAGGGAACAAGTTACGTGTCGTGGAATGTGTTTGGAGTTTTCTTTTAATTAGCGTATGAATGAGAATTTTAATCTTTTTATGATCTCTTTATTCTTTTTTTTTTGGTTAAATGTTGATTTAAAAATCTATGAATCATGAGGTTTTTCTTAGAAATTATCTAACTTCAATACTGTGAACAAATGCCTGCAAATTCCTGCAAGCGTGAGACGCTAGGGCGGGAACAAGAACAGGGGAACCTTTCCCTTGATTCGGAGACTTTGGCACAGAGTGAAACGACGGTGTTTTTGGTTCGTTTAATAACCAGGGGTAATTCGGTCATTTTGGGCTTTAGATCTGCAGGTTTCGAGTGAACGACAGATTGGGAAAATAGTTTTCTATCTATTGCATTATGTGATTTACAAAACATATATACATGCATGAGGAGATAATTGAAGAAACAAATACAGTAAAGAATAGGGATTGATACTAAAAATAATAACAATATTATTTCCTTCCTTTACGCCCTCGCAAGATGAGGATCGTATGCGAGACCAATCTTGACCCGCAACAAGTCAAACCGAGCTCGGGGTAGAGGCTTTGTGAGAGTGTTGGCGAGTTGATCAACCGAGGAGATATGGGACACGCGGAGATGACCATCACGAACAAGACCACGGATGAAGTGATAGTCAATCGCGACATGCTTCATACGAGAATGAAAAACAGGATTAGCACATAGGTACGTCGCGCCGACATTGTCACAGAAGATTACCGGCGAGGATGAAGGTGTGATTCCAAGCTCGGAGAAGAGAGATGAAAGCCAGCGAATTTCGGAGGCCGTTGATGCAACTGATTTGTATTCGGCTTCTGTGGATGATCTAGCCGCGGTTCTTTGCTTCTTCGAAGACCAAGAGATCGGGTGTTTGCCGTAGTACACAATGTGGGCACTTGTGGACGTATAATCATCCCGATTTCCACCCCAATCTGCGTCGGAATAGGCATGTAGCGTGGGAGAGTTCTGGGAAGTCAAGAATAGGCCGAGAGAAGAGGAGCCGACGAGGTACCGTAACACTCTCTTGACCCCTTGCCAATGGTCCGTTGTTGGTTTGTGCATGAACTGAGACAGCTTGTTGACGGCGAATGCGATGTCAGGTCTTGTGAAATGAAGATATTGCAAGCTCCCGACAATGTTGCGGTACTCGGTTGGGTCATCAAGAGGCTGCCCCGACGTCAAAGTGAGAGACGTGGTCGACGACATCGGAGTGGAGACCGGTTTGGAGTGGAACATGTTGGTCCGCTTTAGGAGATCAATTATGTATCGGCGTTGTGTAAGATAGATACCATCGGTTGAGTGTGACACTTCGACTCCGAGGAAGAAGGAGAGGCGGCCAAGGTCTTTGATCGAGAAGCGGCTGCCGAGCATGGCGATGATGTCTTGACATCGGACGGCGTTGTTTCCGGTGATGACAATATCATCAACATAGACAAGAAGATATATAACGACGTCAGCATCCCGGAGAACAAATAGCGACGTGTCGGCCAGGGAATTGACAAATCCCGTGGCAACGAGAAAATTCCGAAGCTCCGTGTACCATGCCCGGGGTGCTTGCTTGAGCCCATAGATAGCTTTGTGTAGCTTGCACACATGCGATGGTCGATCACAATCAACATAACCGGGAGGTTGGGTCATGTAGACATCTTCACTGAGGTGGCCTTGGAGGAAGGCGTTGTTAACGTCAAGTTGTCGTAGAGACCATCCACGAGTGACAGCAAGGCTGAGATGTACAGTTGCCGGTTTCACCACCGGACTGAATGTGTCGTGATAATCTACACCGGGTCGTTGATGAAAACCTTTGGCAACAAGTCGAGCCTTGCACCTGTCAAAAGAACCATCAGCATGTCGTTTAGTTCGGAACACCCATTTACATCCCACAATGTTATAAGAGGCATCTGGTGGAACCAAAATCCAAGTCCCGTTTTTCACAAGAGCATCAAATTCCTCCGTCATGGCTTGTCTCCAACGTGGTGATTTGAGAGCTTGAGTGACACACGTGGGTTCGGTATCATCACTTGATTTGGAAGTTAAGGTATTTATGTATTTGGTATTTGGTTTGGTGATTTGATTTTTGGAACGGGTGGTCATCGGGTGGCTATGTTTTGGTGGAGACGGAGGCGTATTTGAGGGTGGTGTGTCGATGGTTTCAGTGATGGTGGGTTCTGTGGTATTCGGGATGTGAGTGGCGTCGGTTGTTGATGTAGGGAGATGGTTTGGCGAGGGAACGGGTGACGGTGGTGGCGGCGTGGGATCGGGTGACGGTGATTGAGAAGAGGTGGTCGAGAGTGGTGTCGGTAGAGGAGCTGCAGACGAGGTCACGACAGCGGGAGATGGTGCTATGAGTGGACCAACCGGAACTAGTGTGTGAGATGGTGACATAGATCGTGTGGGTTCGACTGAAGCGTTTGAGTCCAAGAGAGGTACCGAGAGAGAGGAGAACGGAAATCTGGACTCGACAAAGGTGACATGGCGAGACACAAAGACACGAGATGTTCGTGGGTTTAGACATAGAAAGGCATGTTGAGTCAATGAGTAACCCACGAAAACACAAGACAATGACCGAGGTTCGAGTTTATGGTGAGAATATGGCCGAAGCCATGGAAAGCATAGACAACCAAATGTTCTTAATGTGGTATATGTCGGTGACGATCCAAACAAGGCTTGGTAGGGAGATTGATGTTCTAGGACTTTGGTTGGAAGACGGTTTATGAGATAAACGGCTGTCGGAAACGCAAACGTCCAATGGGATAACGGCATGGATGCATAGGTGAGGAGTGTTAACCCCGTTTCCATAATGTGCCGGTGTTTACGTTCCGAAATTCCGTTATGCTCGGGGGTATGAGGAGGAGTGGTGAGGTGTTGAATGCCGTGTTCCGAAAGAAAAGATCTTAGGGCAATATACTCGCCACCATTGTCGGAATAAAGAGTTTGAACACGATGGTGAAAACGGTTTTCAACGAGGGATTTAAACCGAGGAAAAATTTCAAGAACTTGAGATTTTCGTTGTAATGGGAAAAACCATGTGTATGTCGTAAAATGGTCGACAAATATGACGAAGTATTTGAAACCATCAAAAGAAGAAACGGGAGACGTCCAAACATCCGAAAATATGATTTCTAAAGGACGAGATGATGTAAGTGAAGACTCCGAAAAAGGAAGTTTATGAGTTTTATTCATGGAACACGGCGTACACTAAAGGTGTTTGTGTTTATTAGAAGACAATGGTAAAGAAAATTGATGAATGACCTTATTAAGAACATCGAAAGAGGGATGGCCAAGCCTAGAATGCCAATCCGCAAAAGTGGTCTTAATAATAGAAAAAACGGAAAAGGACGAAGAGGACACAGAACTAGGGTCGGGAGGCCACTCATAGACGCCATCCTTAAGCATTCCTGTGGTGAGCCGCTCCCCCGTTGCGAGATCCTTTACCTGAAAGTGAAAAGGGTAAAATTCAACGGAA